AAGCTAGAAATCATGGCTTTATGGAAAAAAAAAAAACACCAAAATAGAATAGAAAACAACTATAATTGTAATATCTCCATATTAAATCCTCATTACAATAACTAATAAGGGTATTTATAACTCACTCACAATACGACCACAAAATAACCACTAAGATTGTATGACACACTAAACAAATAACAAGACGCAAACTTAAATTGACAAGCTAAGACAAATGTCAAAGCAAACTGCAATATATATATATATATATATATATATATTCATGTGATTAAATCTTGCTACACAGAGTACAATTGAGATGATGATATTGGACAAAGTGTTGATCAAACAAACAGGAGACCTACAAAGACAATTTTTGCTGATTGATTCATTGATTGCTTTTTTAGTTAAATCATATGAACAAATTCATCAGTTGTCACTCTTGAAAGAAGTTTCTTGCGAAATTCCACCATAGAGAGCGATCACTGGATGTCTTGCTGTAAGAAGACCTCAAAATTGGTTTTGCTTTGAGAGCAACAATTTCCAAAGATTATAAGGTTTATAGACTTGCAATTAGCTCCAGAAAATGATATTATTTTTCATGACTGAAAAGACTTTGACTCTTTTTCCCTTGCATGTGATACTTATCCGTAAAAATATTTTTGAAAGTTTCATATTTTTTTGTTTTGCCCTTGAGAATATTTCTTCTTTCTTATCTTCAACACGGCACCTTAGTAGACAAGTTACTAAACACTGCTGCAAAATCAGTAACACCGTTAAATTGTTGTCGTTTGCGATGTCTATAGTCGTTCTCTAGAATTATCGCACTGTGGTCATAAAATCAACCACAATTGCATCCTCTTTACTATTTCACGCCCAGCTTTGTTTTGTAATTTTTGTTTTATTCAACAAGATATAAAACAAAAATTATAACTTTTGCCCCAAAAATTTTGAAAAAATAAAATTTGATCCCCATTTTTAAACTTTTTGTAGTAATTAGGCTCCTATCCGAATAACACAAACCAAACTATGACTAGTTCTAAATAGAGTAGTCCAGAAACTAATAAAAAAAATTAAAAAATTACACATCTTTCAGCTAGATTATTCGTCTATGTCTCACATAATTATTCACTATCTATCATTTAATAATACATGATTCATATATAATATCTTCTATGTAAGGAAAAGACTTCATATAATGCTACACTTTTTCTCTTCTTTTTTAAATAAATAATTATTCTTCGTTCTATTGACAATAGTTAGCTAATTTTATCACGTATAGAGCGTGGTCCAACAAAGTTAATATATTCCAATGGATTTAATTAACATTTGGAAAAAGTGAAGCACCTTTTTAATTTTTATACTTCAATTTGGTCGTTTGATGTCTCCTTTTAGAAGTACTAATTACAAAATGAAATTAACTAGTTGTGAAATTTCTATACGGAACATAAATAACATCCACTAATCCATTTTAATTTATCTTCTCTTGATTATTCAATCCGGATTCGGTCAAGTAAGCCATGGACCACCTGATTAGAGCAAATGTAGCTCTCCATTGCATAGGAAGTGGGCAAATTCAGACGAAGAAAAAAAAATCTAGCCCATAGAATAAGTTGCACTGATTTCTAGTAGTACAAGTTATAAACACAGTAGACACGAACCTTTTGTCTCACTAGAAAGACTTTGACTTGTATTCATTTTATATATATATGTTAAAGAAAAGTAACACTAAAAACATTTAGTTATCTAAAGACTATATTACTTCTCTCTAATGTTGATTTTACGTTTAATAATTGTCATGTTATGTTTTTATAACTACATGTTACGTTAAAGAGACGGTACCTCTGGAAGGACTGAAAAAAAGCCTATATATATAATACTCGTCAAAAAGAAGAATTGGCGGCTCGAAATTGTTGATTTTTTATGGCCAAATTTTCCATATTTTCTTATGGAAAATTTTTGATTTGTTATTACAAATTTATCCATGTTACGTGCCTGATGAGTTAGGAGATAATCAAGTTATCTTTGGAAATTTAGTACATATAATGGCATACGTTAGGGAAAAAGATATTAATGACGAAGAATGCATTTTTGTTATGCTACTAATACTTGTACTTACAAAGAAAGAATTACGAGACCTAAAATAGAAATATATATATATATTTTTTGATGAAAGTACATTATATTTGAAGTTAACACCATTAAATATAAGAAATAAAGAGTCAGCCAATTTGATCAATTACTTTTCAGACTTACTGAGCAGAGATAGATATGTGTTATGTTGTAGCATATAGTTTTGTATCTCGGTTGGTGCTTCTCTTCTTTATCATAAGATTCGGTGATCACTAATGAGTAATGAATTATAATCATCTATATTAACATTTATTATTTATTAATTAAACAAAAACTTATTTCAACAACGAGATCTATTATCATTTTGTTTTCATATCCCCTAAAATTTTAAATGAGTGCTAATACTCCTAATTTATGGCCGACCATACAATTTGTTATATAAATCTGCAAATGGAGCTTTCCAGACATACCCACGTCTACGTGCAAGATGAACCCCGTTAAATTGTGATCTTCTTTGTTTCCCATTTGAGGAAGATGGATGGATGGATGGATCATTGTTCGAGTGGGCTTATGATTGTCTGCTTCATTCAAGGAGAGGGGAGAATAGATTGTTAAGAATGTGTAAACAAAGTCCCACATTGGCAGATCTGGAATTAATAATAATGGGTTTAAAAGGGTTTCGTCTACTCGTCTTAATAGGTTAACCTTTAAGATGGAACTGAGAGATCCTAATAAAGTGCAATGTCCCCAACAATAAAATATGAGAGACTTATCAACCAAGACACGACATATGTCACGCTAACTGTAATGTCTAATACTCCTAATTTATGGCCGACCATACAATTTGTTATATAAATCTGCAAATGGAGCTTTCCAGACATACCCACGTCTACGTGCAAGATGAACCCCGTTAAATTGTGATCTTCTTTGTTTCCCATTTGAGGAAGATGGATGGATGGATGGATCATTGTTCGAGTGGGCTTATGATTGTCTGCTTCATTCAAGGAGAGGGGAGAATAGATTGTTAAGAATGTGTAAACAAAGTCCCACATTGGCAGATCTGGAATTAATAATAATGGGTTTAAAAGGGCTTCGTCTACTCGTCTTAATAGGTTAACCTTTAAAATGAAACTGAGAGATCCTAATAAAGTGCATTGTCCCCAACAATAAAATATGAGAGACTTATCAACCAAGACACGACATATGTCACGCTAACTGTAATGTTAAACTGTAATGCACACAATTTTATGGTAAAAACTCTTAACTTGCCTTAGTTAATTCAATCAAATGGGGTAATTAAAGTTAATGAAAATATCAAAAATAGAGATAAGCAGTTTCTAGCAAGAGGTAAGAATATTTATTGTGGGCTCTAAAAAAAATATAAGTTTAATTCTTCTAATTATAAGAATAGATACAAGTAAAGTTAGAGAAAACAAAGTGTTTCTTCTTTTTTTTTCTTTTATTCTCCATTAATCTATAAAAATCATATTCCTGAAAAAGTGATTGGAGATGATGATATGATTTCCAAAAAATTTATATTATCAAGTTTAATTGAATATAAGAATCTTTCATAGATTTTCAAGAATAATACATTACTTCATACCAAACAAATACCCTCTTAAAAGACATTCTCAATTCCAACACTGATTTTTATAGAATTTGTGGGTTGGGGAAGCAATATTGTTAACGATGATGAGAAAGATGAAAACTCAACAAGTAGAAGTGGAACTACTAAAAAAATTAATGGCAAAACAAAGATGATCAAGATGGAAAAAAAATAGAGGATGTTGTTGGACTGAAGCGGCAACTTGTACACATTTATTTATTCATTTATTTTCCCCCGACAATATATAATACTAGCAAATGAAGTAGAACTAGGCCCCGTTCTCATTTCGCTGATTCGAGTTTAGAATTCGAGTTTTACTACAGTAAAAAGCTCTCACAAATAATTACATCTAACTTTTTTGCTACAGTAAAAAGCTCTCACATAAAATCACATCTTAACTCGAATCAGCGAACTAAACGGGCCCCTAATTTCAGCAGAAAAAAAAAACAAAAAGACAAAATATTGACCACGCTTTTTTTTTTAATATATAATATGTCCGATAATCAGGACGTATTAAGATCCAGATACTACTATTGTGACAGCTAGCATGTTTTTGAAAATTTGTGTTGAAAGGTCTCCATCGATGAAAATTTGTCCCACAACACTAGTTGGCCAATGAGTACTTGTCCTTACAAGCTGGCTATAAATATGAGTACTTGTCCTTACAAGAGTTCATGACACATTTGATAAATTAAAAGTTTCTCAGGAAATCATGGTATTCTTTCAGTTGTTGAGTCTCCTTCTCTTCTTCCTTCCTTCTCCATCAACCTCTTTACCTGCTCTGCCTTCTCCCTTTGCTCGTCCTTTGCCACTGTGTCATCCCCATGAAAGCACTGCTTTGCTCCAGTTCAAGAACTCCTTTTCCATAATCAATCATAGTTATTATTTTTCTTATTGTGCTGAGTACAATGGAATTGCTAATCCTAATAGTACAATGTCTTGGAATATGAGCAGGGATTGCTGCAGATGGAGTGGAGTCACATGTGATGAAGTCACAGGTCATGTCATTAGGCTTGAACTTGGATGCAGCGGGCTTCAAGGCATTATCAACTCCAACAACAGTTTGTTCCTTCTCACTCATCTTCAAACTCTTATTCTTTCCCATAATTCTCTCCATGGTTCTGAAATCTCACCCCAATTTGGTAGGTTTGTCTATTTGACTCACATCGACCTTTCTTACTCTTATTTCAGTGGCCAAGTCCCTCTAGAACTCTCTTACTTGTCTCGTTTGATTACACTTACACTTGGTAAATATAACAATTTGATTCTAGGGAACTTTGGTTTGAAACGAATTGTTGCAAACTTAACAAGTTTGAGAGAGTTGTCGTTGAGTTCTGTCAATATGTCTTCTGTCTCTCGTAATTCCTTCATGAATTTGTCGGACTCACTGATATCTCTTGATCTTAGTGATACTGAAATGAAAGGAGAATTTCCAGAAAATATTTTTCTCCTGCCAAACCTTGAAGAGCTCATACTATCGTACAATTATAATCTCACTGGTTTATTTCCTAGATATAATTGGACCACCCCGCTTAGAAATTTGAGCCTTTCTTCCACCAAAATCCTAATAGATTTACCATATCTTACCAGCAGTTTAAAATATTTGAATCATTTGGATGTTAGCAACTGCACTTTCAGTGGATCGTTTCCTGCATTAATGCGTGGGAACATAACTCAAATCACTTCCTTAGATCTCTCTTCTAACAGTTTTGGTGGTGAAATCCCATGGGATTCTCTCAATCTGGAGAAGCTGAATTTTTTAGATCTTTCATACAATAATTTTGAAGGCCAACTCCCTCAAATTTGTAGTAATTCTACAAGAAAAACATTTCTTTGCGACTCTTCAGAAAGTGATAAGTTAGTGGGCCCTCTTCCTTTGAATTTGAAATCCTTGGACTTATATGGTAACTTACTTAATGGGACAATACCTTCCTGGCTATATTCCCTTCTGTCTTTACAAGATTTATATCTAAGTTACAACCAATTCACTGGCCGAATTGGATCAACTTTTCAGCAAGTGAACCTTCGTAGCTTAGATGTTTCATCAAATAACTTGAGTGGTATCATTCACTTAGAACAGTTCTCAAGGCTAAAAAAACTTGAAAGCCTTTCTCTTTCTTTTAATAGCCTATCAGTGGATTCTATCAACTCCACCACATACGTTTTGCCCAATACCCTTTGGAGATTGGAATTGTCTTCATGCAATATCACTGGGTTCCCATACTCTTTAAGAAGCTTGGAAAATTTAGAATTCTTGGACCTTTCCAACAACAGAATTGATGGGAGTGTTCCCCAATGGTTGTGGAACGTTGGGAGGGATTCATTGTGGTATCTGAATATTTCTCACAACCTCTTAACTCAAATCGGGAAAATTCCATGGAAAAATCTACTGCTTATTGACCTTAGCTCCAACAGGCTTCAAGCTGGTCATCTTCCAATTCCACCACCTTCAACTTATCTATTTTCAATCTCAAACAATCAATTGGTTGGAGAGATATCTTCTTTCTTTTGCAACCTTACTGGGATTGGAGTCCTTGATTTGTCAAACAACAGCTTGCGTGGGAACATCCCACCATGCTTTGGAAATTTTAGCGTAATCTCTGTTTTAGATTTGCGAATGAATAAGTTTCGTGGAATGATTCCACCAACATTTGCAAAAGGAAACAGCTTGAGGAATCTCAACCTCAATGGAAATCAGTTGGAAGGGCCGTTGCCTCAATCTTTAGTCAATTGTGAAGGGCTGGAAATTTTGGATGTTGGGAACAACAAGCTGAACGGGTCCTTTCCCCATTGGTTGGAATCTCTTCCAGAGCTTCAAGTTCTTATATTGAGATCTAACAGACTTTCTGGTCCTCTAAGTAATCCCAAGGTGAGATTTCCCTTTCAAAAGTTGAGAATCATGGACATCTCAAACAATGATTTCACTGGTACTTTGCCAACAAAATATTTTGAGAATTTCGTAGCCATGATTGATGCTCATTCAGATCGCTTAGAATACATGGGAGATGGAGTTGTTGGTTGGTCCTATTATTCAGTGACAGTGGTTATAAAAGGATTCGACACTGAGCTCGTGAAAATACAAAAACTGTTCATAACCATTGATTTCTCAAGTAATAGCTTCACAGGAGAGATTCCAACAGTGATCGGGAAGCTTAATTCACTCAAAGGCCTCAATTTTTCTCACAACAAGCTATCCGGTCTTATCCCACCATTCGTGGGAAACTTGAGCAACCTTGAATGGTTAGACCTCTCATCAAACGAGCTTTCTGGAAACATCCCATTGCAACTAGCTGTGGATTTGTATCAACTTCAAATATTAAATCTTTCCGACAACAAATTAGAGGGACCAATACCTCGTGGAAGGCAATTTGATACGTTCAGCAATGATTCATACAGCGGAAATGTTGGATTATGTGGATTTCCTCTGTCTAAATCATGCAGCAATGATGGTGCACAACACGATAAGGGTGGTGATGATGATGGAGATCACAACAATGGAATGATTGATTGGAAGGTGGTGATGATGGGATATGGAAGCGGAGTGGTGATCGGAATATCTGTCGGACACATGGTCATTTTCAGCAGAAGCTTCAATTATTGGTTTCACAAAAGATTTAGAGGGGGACGACGTCGCAAAACCAGTGCTCGCTTAAGACGGAGGAGAAGATCAAACTAGCAAGCAAAGGAAAACACAGTCGGACCATGAGAAGTAAAGTAAGTTTGTATTGAACGTTTGCTGTTATGAATTCTTGTTTGCTTTTATGAACCAAACTTTATCAGCTACGTAATTTTTTTTTTTGGTTGCATTTTTGGGTTTTGATGTTGTTCAGGAGGATGCATGAAGCGTTGTAATTCAAATTGGCGTACTATCTTCTTTCATATATATCTTTATATGAATAATTTATTTTCTTTTGTTTCCTTTTTACTAGCTAGTATATTTCAAAAATTGTAATCGTAAGTGAGGATTCGGTCATATCTAAATGTTTTGGAGCTTGTATTTTACGTACTTGTTCAATGTAATTGTCAATTATGCTTTTGTTTAAGTTGTAACATACATCTAATTATGCGGAGGAAATTTATAGCGTGAATTCCCCAATAATGGAATCAATTGGAACCGCCAATTTCGTACTCAATTAGTAGTTAAAACTCTTTTTCAAACATATTTATTACCCACACATTTTTTTAAAAAGGTCCAGGTAAAAGAAAATTTCACCCACACATTTTTGTGTGCGGATAAAAAATATGAAGGTAAAACAATATGCCTCGTGGAATAATTTTGCCACATCAGAATTGATAAACGTGAAACTTTGTTCTGTCCATGAAATTTTTGGGTGCTATTTATTACCCACACATTTTTGTGTCCATGAAATTTCACCCACACTTGCAAACACTTGTATTACCCAATACCCACACACTTAAAAAACAATGTGTTGGTAAAAGAATGATTTGCAATGTGTGGGTACAAAATGTGTAGGTAATCCTTCGGTTTCTTGTAGTAGCTAGTTGTTCGCCAAAAACTCTATGCATAAAATGACTCCACGCAAGCGCACGCAATCGAACAAGTAATATAGTAATGAGTAAAGTATCGTCTCCACAGGGACTGAGTTAATGATGAATTCTATTACAAAAGTCAGTTTTATCAATATGATTGAGAATAGTTTGGATGCCAAATTGATATTAATTAAAGTTAAATGTGACATTTTATGAGAACTTTTTACTGTAGCAGAAAAAGTTAGATGTGACATTTTATGAGAATTTTTTACTGTAAAAATCTAAAATTAAAAACTCAAATCTATGAAATAAACGAGACATACGAAATCATGGGTCCCTTTTATATTCATAAAAGAATATGTTTAATAAAATTCTCTCACCAAAAAAAAAAAAAAACAATAAATTTGACACGTAACTAAGATTCAACCTGCAAGACATGGTCCGAAAAAAAAAAGGACCTGAAATTCAAATCCGTACAAAAATATTAGACTATTAGCGTCAAACATGATAAAAGTAAAGAGTAGAATCCAACCCGCGTAACAGTCTTCAATAATTAACACACGCTTTGCTTCTTCTGCTCTTTCTCTCTCTCTCTCTCTCTCTATATAGTCCCTACATTCATCTTTCTTCTTCCCAAAAATCTCCGAGTCTTCTTTTGCCCACCAAAAAGCCTTTCTCAAGCATTTCTTCAGTCATCTGGTGGGGGAATTTAGACCAACTGACCACGGCCATGTCTACGATGATGACCAACCATTTTCCAACGACAAATGGTGCCGTTTCGAGCCAACGACGTCGTTTTTCAATACGCGCTGCCCACCAAGAAGCCGCCGTCATCAGCCACTGCCCACAAACAAAAAAACCGCCATTAACGAACACGGCGACTCGCTTGGCCGAATCGCTCTCCAATCTCCTTCACCTCCACATCGAAACTCCTTCGAAACAAAATCTTCACGACTATTTCTCGACTTCTAACTCCAATTTTTACGATGTCGAAGAGAAACATTCGACTCCGACGACTTCTCCGAAGGAAGTGATCGCCGAAAAATGGCGGGAAATCCACGGATCCAACGGCTGGGAGAATCTTCTCGACCCGCTTCATCCTTGGCTAAGGCGAGAGATCGTCAAGTACGGTGAATTCGCGCAAGCGACTTACGACGCTTTTGATTTCGATTCGTTTTCGGAGTACTGTGGGAGTTGCAGGTACAATGCGCACAAACTGTTCGAAAAAATGGGTCTGGGAAAAAACGGCTATAATGTCAGCAAGTACATTTACGCCATGTCACATATAGATTTTCCCAACTGGCTGGAGAGATCCCATTTGGTGGATTCCTGGAGCAAACACTCCAATTGGATGGGATACGTAGCAGTGAGCGGCGACGAGGAAACGCGGAGAATCGGGCGGAGAGACATTGTCGTGGCGTGGCGGGGAACTGTGGCTCCGTCAGAGTGGTACGAGGATCTTCAAAGGGAGTTGGAGCCAATTGGGAATCACGACGCCAAAGTTGAACATGGGTTCTTGAGCATTTACACGTCGAAAAGCGAGATTACGAGATATAACAAGTCGAGTGCCTCGGAACAAGTCATGAAGGAAGTAAAGAGGCTTGTGGAGATGTATAGGGCAAAGGGTGAAGAAGTTAGCCTCACAATCACGGGCCATAGCCTCGGTGGGGCGCTCGCTTTGCTCAACGCTTATGAGGCTGCGCATGCGATTCCCGGGCTGCCCATCAGCGTTATCTCCTTTGGCGCCCCAAGAGTTGGGAACACCGCCTTCAGAGACAAGCTTCACCAAATGGGTGTGAGGACATTGAGAGTTGTTGTCAAGCAAGACATGGTCCCGCGAATGCCGGGGCTAGTTTTAAACGAGAGCTTGCAGAAGTTCGATGAGATCACGGGAACATTGGAATGGATTTACACCCATGTTGGGGCTGAGCTGAAACTTGACGTCCGGTCGTCATCTTATTTGAAGCGCGGATTCAATTTGATTGGGTTTCATAGCTTGGAGACTTACCTGCATCTTGTGGATGGTTTTTTAAGCACAAGGGCCACATTTAGGAACAATGCAAGGAGGGATGTTGCTTTAGTGAACAAGGCATGTGATATGTTGGTGGATGAGCTTAGAATTCCACAGTGTTGGTACCAATTAGCCCATAAGGGGTTGGTTTGTAATGCTCATGGGAGATGGGTTAAACCCAAGAGAGAGATTGAGGACATTCCTTCACCTGTTAGAGAGGCACAACAAGCCCATTCCCTTGCTGTGTCTTTGCAATCAGATAACAATGTATTTCAACCTGTACTTAGTGCTTGAAACATACACAAATATATAATTTGAGAAAAGAACTTAAATCCGTTGATAATTCGCTCTCCAATCCTTTACACATTTATTTGCCGGATTAACTTTACGCATCATGAAACAAAAAACAAAAAAAAACAGTTAAATGATGTATCATCAAATAACCAAATACTAATTCGCGGTAAAAAAAAACTGAGAAGAAAACAACAATTTCAATTTTACAGAATTTGCAAAATTTTGATATATACATGTGTGTGTGTGTGTGTGTGTGTGTGTGTGTGTTTGTATGTGATTTGAAAACAGAATGTGTGTGTGTTTGTGTGTGATTTGAAAACAGAAGAAAACTTTTCCATCTGATTGCACAAAGACGTGGTCAATTTTCTACAATGATCTAGTTCGTTTATAACATTTGTAGTTCTAAACGAACACGTATTTAAATTGAGGTTCAAACTTCACAAAATCTCACATCAAATTTAAACTCAAAAGGTTCAATATAAACTCCCTGCTAAAAGAAACTTAAATGCTAAAATGGTCACTTTATTAATTGCAATCCGGCATTTTTTGCAATAGTTTTGCCCTCTGTGGCAAAAGTCGATCCACGGCGTGTTTCACTGGCAGGCTGCATAATTATCCCTGTAGCTATCAGTACTTACAAAATGTGTGTGCCTGTGTTTCTCCTACTCATTTTCCTTGCGGTCTTTTTGCTTTCTTATTTTCTCTTTACATGTGACTGTGATACATTGCCTACCATTAATGAATTTACGCAGTTTCTAATTTTCATTGTAGTATAGATCAATCACTAGATTTCCATCAGTCATCTGATTTGCTTCGTCATTAATTGCAGAAACAGGGCACCACTGCTACAGCTTCCATTAACGTGTCCAACCTTATAACAAAAGTGACAATGCAATACAAAACGAAAATGAAGTTGTACATGAACATTTGCCCAAAAGTCAAGAGACGAACTGCCACTAAATCTTGAGAATTTATGAGAGACTTGGATTCAAAAATCTTTTATTTTTTTAGAATCTTGGGTTATGAAATGTCATATCAAGGATTTAAATACTTTTTACCTTTTGTAAAATAAACACGGGTTTAAACTTGAATTTAAGTTCAAACTCTTTGAACCTTCAAACTAAACGTCACTGTTTGCCAAAAACTCTATGCATAAAATGACTCCACGCAAGCGCACGCAATCGAACAAGTAATATAGTAATGAGTAAAGTATCGTCTCCACAGGGACTGAGTTAATGAGGAATTCTATTACAAAAACCAGTTTTATCAATATGATTGAGAATAGTTTGAATGCCAAATTGATATTAATTAAGTGAAAAGAATGTATAAGACCAAAGACTGTAATTTAAATGCAGACAAGAGGTAAAAGTCAACAAGATCTGAGCTTAGAGCTGTGATTTAATGATGGATGAAGGCTAGGATTACTGATTTCCCCTCGGTTGCAACTCTGACCACGATTTGCTATACGATTGCTTTAGCAAAGTTCGTCAACCTAACCTAAAATTCTACATAATCATCTTCCGACAGATTTATGCTTGTAATTCCTTAAACCAAACCAACATATTCCTATGTGTTTTAGTTTACAAACCTGACGTTAACATCAATTTTAATGGGTTGTACAAGATAATAGTATATTCCTATACTATCTCTTACATTATCCAAGCTAGATCTAACTCAACCAACCTTTCCAGAATTAGCTTAAGTTTGTGTTTTCTTACTAAATGATGGCCTGTCACTTAATAGAAAGTAAACAATAAATATGCTTGAATAAACCAGATGAAAATTACATTATCAATCAAAATAGCAAATAGATCTTCATTGCAACTTTGGTTCCATCAATAATCCTAGCTAAGGAATTTAGCTCATGTTTAGTTCAACAA